TCTGCAGAACAGTACCGTAACTGCAGCCGTGATAGTTTCAGCTCTGGCGCTGGTTGCGTCTGCGCCCCCCTCGCCGTGGCATCTTGTGAACCGCTGTGACGTCCTGGTGCAAGTTTCAACTAGGTGGTGCCGGTGTCCCTTCGCCGTCGTCCACGCTCTCGCAGGTCGAGCCCGGCAGCGCTGCGCCGGGCTGGACCGGGCCGAGCTTCCCTGTGGAGGACACCCCGCAGACTCCAAGCCGCGCGGAGCTCGGCCGGATGGCGATGCGGGGATCAGGACATGGGGGGATGAGTATCTGGTACCGTTTTGTTGGGGTACAAATTGTACCTTCTCTGCGGGTTGCAAGTACAACTTGTACCTTCTTCCCCCCGTTAACATCCTCGCACATGTCGCGGACCTTGGCAAAACTACAATTTGTACCTTGTTTGCGTGGCGTTGGTACAAATTCTACCTTCTCCGTGGGGCGTAGGTGCAATTTGTACCTCGGTTGCGCCTCTCTTCCCCCCTGGACTTATCCCCCCATTTGCATCCCGCCAAGGAGCTGCGAATCTTAGCCGTCTGGAGCCGATCTCTCTGCGCCGTCGTCCTCGCCCTCTCCGGACTGGGCCAGGCGGCGCCGCTCCGGACTGGAGCGTGCCGAGCCTGCTTACGGAAGCCGAGCGCCTCGGCCGCGAGTCACGGTGCGCGCGTGCGGGGCGCTGGGACGCCGTCCTCCTCCTCCTCGCTCCCCTCCCCCCAGGTTCGGGAGCTGCCATGCGGCCGGCTGGGCGTTCGTGGCACGGCTTTGCCCTGCCCAGCTAAGCGATGGCCCAGGTTAGCGCGTTGCCAATTTCTGGGCCTCTTGGATGGGGTCGGAGTAGATGGCAGGCCAGCCACAACTGGGGGAGCTGTGGTCCTTACCCCCCTTTGGGACCCATCGATTTCGACACCCCTCTCGAGAGATCGTCGACGCGATGGGTTCCCCCAGGGGGGTAAGGACCACAGCTCCCCCAGGAATGGCTGGTCGGAGCAGATGGGGTCGGAGGAGCGTGCGGCATCGCCGCTGCATCGTCGATGCGTCGCCGATGCGGCCAAGATGTGGGGCCCACTTTCCTCCACGCCGACGAATCGATGCATCACCGACGTCGCCAGTGCATCGCCGATGCATCGGCGATGCGGCGCGATCCTCCGACCCAATCTACTCGGACCCCATCTAGGAGGCCTCTAGTGTTGCCAATCTTCCTCGTACTCTTTCTCCTCCACCGAGCCCGTTGGAGCATAGGTCCCGCGCGCGCGCCTGGGGCCCTTCGGCCGGCAGTTCGGGCGCCATGTACTTGTCAAGACGATGGCTGTCTCGTTGGCTTCTGCTTCATCCCATGCATCAGTGTAACGCACGTATCGTCGTGGTCCTCGCCCTCGTCGCCCCTCCTTGCAAATCGGCCACCTGACCTCTCGAAGGGTGCGTTTGGGTAAGAATCTGGAGGGGCCCCTGTGGCGACCAGACGCCTCTCGGAGGCTTCCTCTTCACAGAAAGGCGAAAGACGCATCCCCAAACTTGCTTTCCGATCCTCATCTCTCCCTCTCTCTCTCACTACCCCCTATCTCTCTCTCTCTCTCTTCCCCCCCCTCTCTCTCTGCCTCACGCTCTCTCTCTCTCTCTCTCTTTCTCTTTCTCTCTCTCTCTCTCTCTCTTTTGTTGTTCTCTCTCTCTCTCTCTCCTGTTGTTTCTCTCTCTCTCTCTGTCTCTTTCCCCCCCAAACATATGGCGCCTAGAAACAATCGAGGCGACCATCCTTTCGCCATCTTTGGCCACTGGAGCCCAGCTTCTGAGGCCTCGGGGACCCTCACTCAAATTCGAGTCTGGACGAAGCACTGGCTTCGGGGACGCGGTCGGAGAGGTCAAGGGCCTCGAGGCTCGAAGGTAGCTGGAACCTTCGGAGCTCAGGGCTCGGCCGCGTCACCAAGAGGGAGCCAGTGGCGAGGCAGGAGGCCGTCTGAGAAGGCACCCTTCCTTAGAGGTGCGAGGTCCCTTCTGCCTTCGGCACGTCGTGCGTTGTCCTTCCTCCGCCCTTTTCACTTGGGGCTTTGTTCTGCGTTTTCGGTTGTCGTGTGATTTGCTCGCAGCGCCGGCTTGGGCTGAAAACAGCGTCGAACAATTGGGTTGACGGCAGCGTCGTTTCCTCCATGTCGTTTCTTTCATCTCATGCAACGGTGCCTGAACGCACCTTTTTCCAGCTTCAGTCCGTGTCCCGCATGGTTGCCGAACCCTGTTCTATGGTTGAGCAATGTGTCGCGCAGCTCCTGGAAACGCGTCCGCGTGCTCGACAGACGATGATCAGTACTCTCTGCCCCCGTGACGTCAGATCTCCCGGCAAAGACATTCCAAGATACTTGGGAACCCTTGTCTTGTTGACCTCCACGAACATGCCTGCGATGTCGACCAGCAGGGGTGTTGGCCCAGAGGATACCGCGGCATCCGTCGTCAGAAGTTTCGTTTTGATCCATTTGCCACAAGTCCAGCTTTTGTGAATTCCTCCACACGCAGCGCGTCCTCTCCTCGATCTCGCGCAAAGATTTCAGAATTCGCGCAGCAGTCGTTCGTCCGTCTGTCAGCAGCGTCGTCGGTTAGTTCGAAACCATGCTCAGCACTCAAGCGCATCCTCCACCTGCGCACGACGACTTTGGCAGCCTCGTTGAAAAACAGCGGGCTTAGAGTGTCTCATTTTCTTTCTCCAGGGTGCATCAAAAACGAAGGTCCATCGACTGTACCGGCATGACACGAATCTGTGCATTTTTTCATAAAGCAATGTCATTGTCCAGCAACCCAAGCTCTGTCAGCGAGTCCAGTGAACCGTTATGTTTGAGCTTGTCGAAGGCATTTCGGAGGTTCATTCTTAGCCCCCAGAGCCGTATATTCAATTCCAGCGATGCCCCGACCACATACCACCTTGTCTTCAAGGCCTCGTCGACCGCGCAAGCTCCCCTGAAGCCCATCTGTTCACCTGAGATTCGCGGGTCTAGTTAGGGAAGGAGGGCCTGGTGAATCATCTTGGCGAACACTTTGTACTCAACATCGAGGCTTGCAACCGGCCTCCAATCGTAGGCGTCCCTCAGAGCTCTATTCCTCGTCAACATCAGTTCACTCCAGTCGCTAGGAAGGCCGCCGCCCTGCAGCACATCGCTGTACTTCCGCGACAATGTGCGATTAATGGTATCACCACCATGCGCCAACATCTCCAGAATCAACCCGTGCTTGTCAGCGCAATTGCCCTTGTAGAGAACTTTCAATGCGTTGACGAACTTTTCCGTTGTAGACGGCTCGATCTCCTGCAATAGCAGCGCGGTCCGTCTGTCTGCCAGAGTCTGGTCTGTTGCATACACCTCCCCAAGCATCCTTGCAGACCATTCTGGCTTCGGCTTCGGCTCGGCCGACATCTTGCGTTGCTTGGGTTCGCGAGTTTTTTGTGCGAAGTCGGTGGAGGTCCCAGAGCTTCGTAAGCTGCTCTTCCAGCCGCTGTGTGTTCGGGCCGGACGGAAGGGCAGGGCAGGCAAAGGGTGGGTACGACCTGCTGCATGCGGCTGGTTTCGGTCCCGCCGCCGGGCCCATTCTTCGATACATGGGCGCCTCCAGGCGCCAGGAGGCGCCGTGGAGTTTGAGTGTTTCCCATACGTGGCGAGCTCGCCTCCTCCCGTTCCCCCGCGTCTGTCGGATCTCGCTCTTTGCGTGCCGGGCGCCGTCGTCGTCGTCGTCGTCGTCGTCGACGACGTTGTCGTCCTCGTCGGCAGCGGCGGGGGCGGCGGCGGCGTCGGCGTCGGTCTTCCTGGCGCCTCCCGGCGCCAGGAAGACCATCTACGTGAGTTGATTCTCTACCCTACCCTTTGCTATCTCACCCTTTTCTATCTTTCCCTTTGCTATCTTACCCTACCCTTTGCCGACGTCGCAAAGCCTTCCTTGTCTCCTGGGCGATTTCTTCTGACAGGGCAGCAGCACGCCCCGCGCGATCTGCGCAATGCCTTCCGTCGTTTATACTCAAGTCGTTGAGCCCAGCTGTGCCGCACTTTCGATCTTGAGGGTGGGCCCTGGTCGCACCAGAAGCGCGCGCGGCTGATCTCACGGTTCGCCATGGGAGAAGCGGGTCCTGAGGGAAACGGGTCCTGCGGTTTTTCGCCGTTTTCAGGCTCTCGGGGCGTTCATGGGCCCCAGGACTGTTGGAAAACGATTCATGATGAAGATCTCGTCTTGGTGGACAGCCCCAGGGTCCAGGACCCTTGTCCCTCAGGAGCCGCTTCCCCCATGCTGATGATTTCCTTGTGTCTTGCAGCTCATGCCGAGATAAATCCCCAGCCTCGCCCAGCAGATATTCCAATTGCTTCTCGTAGGTCGGAGAGCCAACCCATGCCGTCGGCGATCTCTTTTTTCGCGTGCTGGCGCCTGCAGAAGGCCAGGAAAGGACGCGTAAACGGCACGATGGTCCACAATCGAGTTCGTTCGTGGTTGGCGAGCTAGTCAAAGTCACGAAGAGGAGCACACGTACTCGATCTCACGCTCATGTCCCACTGAACTTTCGAATGTCCGCTGTAGTTCTCGATCCATCTCGTCACCACTTGCTGCGTGAAACAAGGCTTCCGATACGAAGCGGGAGAGAATATTGCCACGATCGCCACAATACAGCATAGCATTATCATCTCCAATCAAGATGACGTGCCGTTTCTAACGAGTCGGCTCCGCCATCACAGTTCGCAGTCCAGCGTAGAAACTGTCCAGATCAGCCCAGCGCTTGGAGCATCGACGCAGATCACCCGGACGTATTTACAGAATTTCCCATCGTGGTCAATGTGTGTGTGTGCCAACAGGTGCTTCCCAGCAGACTCTCGGATTTGAGTTACTTTGCCAGCAGGCTGCGAAGGGAGAAGGACAGATGTACCCAGATGTCCCTCTCCAGCGTCTGCGCTCGATCTTCAACGGTGCCCTCCTGCCAACACTTCCCGCCCTCCGAGCGGCCACCCCGCCAGAGCGCCAGCCTCCGCGCACCGGTCTTGCGTTCGGACTTCCGTCGCACCGACGCCCGAGCATCGCGGCGCACGAGCGTCGGCCCACAGCCTGCGGGGCTGACGTGTGGACTGGGTGGTGCAACTGTGGTGCGCCGCGCGAGGCCTCCCAGATGCTCCTCACAATGGGACGCGCAAAGACATACTGGTACCATGCGTTCTCCTTGGAGGCGCGCGTCCGACCCAAAGCCTCTCGCCACCCGAGAGGCCACACCCCCCGGAAGCGCCAGCCCAGGGGCCAGTGGGGCTGCAGTCCCGGCCGCCCCCGCGCTGCTTCAGCATGGCCACTGCCGGGGGCGGCAAAGAGGGGGGGTGATGACCGGGTGGTGGTGGATATCATGGCGGGGGCCATGGTATTTCCCCAGATTTCATGGCGCCTCTTCTCATTTCATTACGTCCCTGGCCCCCCCGGTCACGATTTGCACCCCCCCTCTTGGACACCCCCCTCTTGGCCGCTCCCGACACTGCGGCGGGGGAGGCCCAGCGCTGGGGGAGGCACGGCGCCCGCGCAGGAAGGCGCAGCAGCGATCCACCGAGGCAGGGCCGCCTGCGGCCCGCTTCGCTGCGATGCGATTCGCCGGCTGGGGCCGCGACCCCGATCCTCGCCATCCGGGATCTGCACGAGCGAAATGGACACGGAAAGAATGGGTACAGTGCCCAACAGCAGTCTTTGTTCATTTTGCGCGGACTCGCTGTCCGCGCCGCCGCGGCCTGTGTCCACTCGAGACAGAAGGCCGCCTGCCCAACCGCGGCCGCTGGTGGTCTTGGACAACACCTGTTGTGGAGCATGGTGCCCATCCTTTCCGTGCCCATTTCGGGCGCCCGGGAGCCCTTCGCGCCGGCCACAGCGAAAGGGGGGGATTGGGAAAGGGGGGGTTACGAAATTTGCTGCATGCAGCTGGTTTCGGCCTCACCGAGGGGCCCATTCCTCGATACATAGCTCCATCCGGCGCCGGGAGGCGCCGGGAAAATCAGCTACGTGAGCTGATTCTCAAACCCCCCCTTTGCTATCCCCCCCTTTCGCCCGACCCGAAGCAGCCGGAGCGCCCGACGCCCTGGCCCCGCTCGCGCCCTCCGCGCCGCGGGGGCGCCGCGGCGCAGGGCTTGGGCCGCGGTCGGCTTCGCGGGGGGGGGGCCCTCGCCGCGCCCTCGGGCCGTACAGGGGCGTCCCAGGGTGCGAAGCCGAAGGGGGGGAGGCGCCTGCTCCTCCTCCTCCTCCTCCTCCTCCTCCTCCTCCTCCTCCTCCTCCTCCTCCTCCTCCTCCCTCCTCCTCCTCCTCCTCCTCCTCCTCCTCCTCCTCCTCCTCCTCCTCCCTCCTCCTCCTCCTCCTCCTCCTCCTCCTCCCTCCTCCTCCGCGTCCTCCTCCTCCGCCTCCTCCTCCTCCGCGTCCTCCTCCTCCGCCTCCTCCTCCTCCTGCTCCTCCACAATAACTCAATATGAATACTACTCTCCTTCTTCCCCTGATGACGGTTTGAAAGTGCTCGACCCCCCCCCCGCGTATTGCTTTCTTACACGCAGGTTTCCCCTGAGTTTGGTTTTCGCCTGCATTTTTTTTTTCAAAATGCTGCTCTCGCTGAGGCGCCGGCCTCATTTTTGGGCCCCGCTCGTTCCGAATCGTGCTCCCGCTGCAGCGCTGGCCTCATTTCCGTGCTTTCGCTCGTTCCGAATCGTGCTCCCGCTGCAGCGCTGGCCTCATTTCCGCGCTTCCGCTCGTTTTGACTCGTGCTCCCGCTGCAGCGCTGGCGTCATTTCCCGTGCCATGCCACGGCATGCAATGCTCTTCTACGCCATGCCATGCCGTGCTCTACAATACATCGCGTACCCTTTCGGGATCATTGCCCTGCTCATCCGACTGTGCGAGTATAGAGGGGATCTGCGCCATGGTAAGGGATGGGAGGGAGGGGTAGAATGTCAGATATGACGCGAGCGCACCTCCTCCCCCTCCGCCTCCTCCTCCCCGGCCTCCGAGACGAAGGCCTCTGGGCAGCCACGCCGCGAGCACTCTTTGACGTCGGCGGCGAGGCAGAGTGGCTGCACCAGCGGTGAGCAGCTGAACGGGAGCGCCGAGAAGCGACCGCCCAGCGTGCAGAGAGAAGGGAGGGGGGAAGATACGGACAGGGCGGCCGCGGAGGAGGACGGAGGAGGGGGCACTCGGAGGCGGACCACGCTGCGAACACAAGAACGACGTCGGACGTCAGGGCCCTCTGCTTCTCTCTCTTATCGCTCTCTCCCCCTCTCTCTCTCTTATCGCTCTCTCTCTCTCTCTATATTCTAACGCTCTCTCTCCCTCTCCCTCTCCCTACCCTTGGGTCGGGCATGTCCACCTACAGGCTGATTTTGGACGGAGAATAACCCAGAACATGCTCACACAGAGCCAAAGAGTAGTAGACACATCGTCCTCAGGCTAGTTCTTTTACTTTTTTCCTTAAAAGAAAACCCTCCTGTAGAGGAGCATGCCCGACTCGCTCTCTCTCTCTCTCTCTCTTCTCGCTCCCTCTTCCTCCCCCTGCCCCGGTGCGCTCTGCCCGCACCGGCCGGCAGGTGGACACCCTCGGCACCGTCCAGGTCCTGCGCGATCCTGCGGTCTGGCGCCAGGTGGCCGCCTCGGAGGAGCGTCCCGCGCCTGCCTTGGCACCCTGGCGTCGAGCGGATGTGCTCTTCCTCCTCCTCCTCCTGTTCCTCCTCCTCCTCCTGTTCCTCCTCCTCCTCCTCCTCCTCCTCCTGTTCCTCCTCCTCCTCCTGTTCCTTCTCCTCCTCCTCCTCCTCCTCCTCCTCCTCCTCCTCGGTCCTCCTCCTCTTCCGAATCGAAGACGACCTGCGGGCGCGCGGCGTGCTGCTCGAGTCCAGCCCCGGCGCGGCCCTCGCGGAGCCCACGGCCGGAGAGCCGCGGACGCCGGGCGGTCGACGGATGCTCCCAGTTCGACCCTCCGGGTCGCTGCGCATCGTCCTCAACGCGTCGAGCGGATGGGCATGTGCCTCTGCAGGAGGAAGATCTCAACAACAGGTGACCCGGTGCGGGCGATAATAATGTCCCCGTGCAACAGGATTTTCTTCTGGAGAAGGGCGCGGAGGCCGAACTTTATAATCCACGGGGGAAGCTGCGAATCGAAACTATCATCTTATGTTGATTGGCAACAGCATCCAACACGCTGAGCATGGCCATGGTGGTCTCACCACATCAGCTTCCGCAATCACGAGCGTGTGGCACGGCTGTGGGATTCTCACCAGTTCATGTTGTCCAAGTTACGAACGTGCGGCAGGGCCATGGGATTCTCGAGTCAGTCTTGTGCCGAGCGCCCAGGATCGCCATCATCATGATGATCATGATCATAATCATCATCATCATCATCATCATCATCATCATCATCATCATCATCATCATCATCATCAGCATCATCATCATCAGCATCAGCATCAGCATCAGCATCATCATCATAATTCACCTTCCCCAGGAAAATCCATTACCATCCCCGCCAGACCCCCGAACTTTATTATCCCCCTGGTATCATTTTCGCCCGCACAGGGTGAATCAAAATAGTCAGGGGACGGCTTTTCTATGATTTTTTGATATATTTGACATTCGTTGGCAATGTTTTACCTCTCATCCAAATTCCGCCTGTATGAGGATATGCCCGATCTAAAAGCCGCACCCCCCCCCGTCGGGGCCCGCCTCTTCGCAGCCATCGGGTGGTACTTTCGAACCGGCAGGCTCGCGTTTGCCTGCGCGTTCGTGGCCTCTTGGGGCCTCTCGGGGGCCGTCTGGGGGCTTCTCGGGGCCTCTTTCCGGGGGTCTGGGGAGCCTCGTGCGGCCTCCAGGGGGCCTCCTGGGTTCTCTTGGGGGCCTCCTGGGGCCTCCTGGGGGCGTCTTGGGGCGGAATGCTCGAACTGGTGGTTCGTGTTCCATCTTTTGGGCTCCACTCGAGGCCGTCTTGGGGCCCTTTTGGGCGATCTTCGGCGCCTCTGGGGCCGTTTTGTGGCCCTCCTGGACCGTTTTGCGGCCCTCTTGGGGGCCTCTCGGGCCGTCTTAGGGCGTTCTTGGTGTCCTCTGGGGCCATCTTGGAGGGTCGGAAGCCCGAAAACGCAAGAACGCGAAAAACATGGAAAAACGCAGAGACAACCAATGATTGTTGCTTCTTCTGGCTCTCTTTAGGCTTCTCTTGGAGCGCTCTTGGGGTTTCTTCGGGTTCTCTTGGGCCGTCTTGCTGCTCCGATCTTGGCCTTCGTCGCCACGTTATTTCCTGGTGGCGCCGAGGTGCTCGGCATGTCGGAATGCATCAAGCGCGCCCCGTTGCCCCGGGAGCCGCCTCTGTTGCGGCCGACACTGCGGCGTCGCGGGTGCTCTGTGCGATCGACGCGGGCCCGGTAAACACGGGGGCGAGGTCCGACGGCAGGTGCCGCCCATGGTGAAACGGGCTCGCTGTTGGTGTCTCCGCGGGCGCCGTCCACCCGAGCCACGGCGCCGCTTGTCCAACAGCGGCCGCCGTCGGCAGCGGGCATCATCAGCTGCTGGGCCTCGTGATGAGTTCCTCTCACGTGGATGGTTACCCCGTGTTTTCCAGGGTTTCGTGGCCTGTCAGGCGTGACATGAGCAAGAGCCTGTTTTTTGTTTTGAAAGTCTGGGCGATAACGCTCGTGATCGCCCCCGCCCCTCCTCCCCCCCGATCACGTCACGCTGTTTTCCCCACGTGTCTCAAGGAATCATCCAGGGCTTCCAGGGAATCTTAAGGGTTTCCCAGGAAGTCGTCGTCGGCGCTGTTGTCCGCGACGGGGAGGTTGAAAAAGCGAGAACAAAGTCACAAAAACCTCGTTCCTCGAGGTCGTTTCTCCTCTTCCTCGCTCGCCCTCCCTGTTCTTCCTGCTCGTGCTTCTGCTGCTGCTCCTTCCTTTCCTCCTCAATCCCCTATTCCTCCTCTGTTGCCTCTCCCTTCTCCTTCTCTCCCTCCTCCCGAGGGCCCGCGGGCTCGAAAAAGGCTCCGGGAGGCCGACACCCCCGTGATGTGATCGGGGGCCCCCCCCCTTGATCACGCCCGTTATCGCGGATACTCTTATGAACAGGCTCTAACTCATTCGAGACCCCGCGCGTTGCTCATTGATCATTGTTCACTGCTTGGCCCCCTTCTGCCTCGCCCTCCTCCGCCCCCCTTCCTCCCCGTCGCACCGGGGGGCTAGTTCTCAGCGGCTTCGAGGTGGGCTTGCTATTTTAGCGACGCGTTCTTGTCTCCCGTCGCGTGCGGAGTCGTCTGTGACGTCGCTTTTGCAGTGCAGCGCATTCTGGGCGCAGTGCGCCTCAGCGGCTTAGTGGGCCCTGGAAACGGCAGGGCCGTCTTTTCACCGTTTCCGAGAGAGTGTCCCTTGAAAATGGAAACGGCAACAAAAACGGCGACCGGAAACGGCAACAAAAACGGCGCCAGGATTGGAACCGGAGCCGGAACCGGTCAAGAAACGGCGACGGAACCGGTAAAAACACGGCGTCGGAACCGGCAACAAAAACGGCAAAACGGAACCGGTAACAAAAACGGCCCTATCGCTTCCATGGCCCACTAAGCTCAGCGGGTCCCTGGTCTTGTCGGTGTCGGCATGGGCATTCTGCACGGTGGCCCTCGCCGCCCTTTCAGAGTGGCCGGTGCCTTTCCCGCCCGCGTCTGCTGGTCTGCGGGCTTTCGTGCTGCTTGCGGATGCCTGGTGCCGCGCTGCGCGGTATGCTGTGCAGCGCGGCGCCCTGCGATTTGATGGGCCTGTTTTCCACCACCACCACCACCACCATGAGTTGGAGGGGGGAATGAGGTGGAAGACGAGGACGAGGGGGACGAGGAGGAGGAGGAGGTGGAGGGTTGAGGAGGAGGAGGAGGAGGAGGAGGACCCCCTCCCCCTCCAACCTATGGTGGTGGTGGTGGTGGAAATCAGGCCCATCACGATTGCCACGCTTCTGGTTGTGCCCCAGGGCCGTCGCAATGATGCCTGGTGGGAGTACCTGCAGTGCTGTTTCTGAGTGTTGGAGCCAATGAAGCCAATCGTTGCCCCTGTTGGTCCCTGTTGGCGAAATTGTCAGGCTCGTCTTCGGGCGGTTTCGGCGGTTGCGTTGCCGATCTGCCATGCGCCACCTGGGGTTCGTAACGTTCCAGAATCGCACAGCCCGCCGAGAAACGCTGCAGACTTCTGCCGACATGACCGTTCGGCCAATGTTGCCGGATTTCATGACACTTCGGCCAATCTTTGACAGATTTTGGTAGATTCTGCAGAGTTCTACCAGGCGCGTTTAAAGATCCGAAGAGTGCGGGCCCCCAAAGGTTCTAGTGGCAAATCGCGGGCTCTAGAATGCTGTTGGAGCGACAGGCTGGAATTGACGATTCGTGGTCCCCTTCTTGGGCCCCTCTTGGGGCCGTCTAATGAGTTTTTTGGGGGCATTATAGGGGGCCTCTTATGCCGTCTTGGGACTTTCTGAAGCCGCCTTGGGGCCCTCTTGGGGGCCTTTTGGCGATGGCCCGTCGTCCTGGGACGTAAGAAGTTCGAGCAGGCGAAAACCCGCAAACAGTATTGCACCTTGGGAGCGTCGCTGGGTTGTGCTTTTTCGAAGCCTTCGGGGGAAGGTTTTTGAGGCTCAATTGGGATGTCTCGAAAGCCCAGTAGGCCGTCTCGAAGCCATCTTGAGCCGTTTTGAGGCCAGCGTGGCCTGTCTTGCACCGACATTCTGGCGTTTTGGAGACAGCTGGGCCCTGGGAGCCTCGGGAACGGGGGGTGGTGCACGCAGCTGGGCGCCCCCCGAGAAGGAGGAGGACCCTCGGGAAGTTGGGAGAGGCCCTGCCAGACAGCACTCGGCTTTCACTTCTCCGGGCATTTTGTATCGCACGCCTCAGCGTGCCAGGGGGGGGGCACGGTGGCGGGATGACCAGGAAGAGTTGTGAGCCTCTCCCTGGAAGGGGAGGAGGGGAGAGGATGGACCCCGTTGTCCTCCTGCTCCTCCTCGCTGTCCTCACGTGCTCCACGTCGTCCTCGTCATCGCCCCCCTCGTCGCCCTCGCCTTCCTCTTCTTCTTCTTCTTCGCCCAATGAGCCCATAGGACTAAAGCGGCGCTTCCCCTTTTTGTCCGATCAGGGGAACCAGCAATGGTGATGAACCTCTGCCTGAAGGGGGATAAGGGAGACGAGGGAAGGGGAAACGCTCAAAACCACCGCCCAGAGAACTGGTGGGATTTCCGCGCAGAAAGGGACAGCGAAACGCACCGGAAAGGTCCGCCCGACATCGCGTTAACGTGCGGTCGGGTGTATCGGCGGCGATTTAGGGGGGGAAGTGAGAAGGATATCGCCTTCTCAGAAGGCGGAGGGACTTCTCAGAAGCCATCGCGCCTTCTGAAAGGTTTCCTGTGTCTTCGGGGAAGGCTCAGAAAACTTCTCAGGAGGCTTAGACAAATTCTCAGAAGGCCAGGGGATTTCCGAGCCTTCTGAGAAGGCCCGCCGCTTCTCATTTTCCCTCCTCGCTCGCCGCCGAGTGTAATCGCGCGGCGACGCCAGCAACGTGGTCGCCTATGTCAAATCCCGGCCGCTTCGCGGTCAAGCCCGCCGCATGTCACGCCGGTGCATCGATTCCGCGGCTGCTTCAGCTTGGTGGTCGGGCCGCGGAGGTCGAACGAGGCGTCCTCGGGGTCTGTCCCACGAGCATGCGAGGCGACCTTCACCACGTGACTGGGTAGCTGCGCCCTCGCGGCCGCCTCCCCAGCCAGGACGTTTGTGCTCTCGCTCCCCCGGGAGAGGAACATGGCCTCGGTGCCTTCTTGCATGACCGCATTGCGCTCCCGGTGGCCCCTTACCTCGGACACTTGTTCTTCCCGCCCTGTCCTTGCCAGCTCGGTCCGCCTTCGTCCAGAAGACGATGGACCGCGGCGCGATCCGCTGCCACCCCCAGCCCCGCGCCGAAGGGCGCGCCAGAAGCCGCGGATGAGGAGGAGGAAGAGGAGGAAGAGGAGGATGAGCAGGACTAGGATCAGCAGGGTCAGCGTGATGATGATGATGATGATGATGATGATGATGATGATGATGATGATGATGCTGATGATGATGATGATGATGATGATGACGGTGGTGTCATGATTATGATGATGGTGATGCTGCTGCTGATGATGCTGATGATCTTGCTGCTGCTGCTGATGATGATGCGGATGATTATGATGATGCGGATGATTATGATGATGCTGATGCTGATGCTGATGCTGATGCTGCTGCTGATGATGATGATGGTAATGATGGTGATTCTGATGGTGATGATGGTGATGCTGAGGATGATGGTGATGATGATGCTGATGATGATGCTGATGATGAAGATGACGACGACGATGACGATGACGATGCTGATGATGATGATGACCATGATGGTGCTGATGATGATGATGATTATGATGATGATGATGATGATGATGATTCTGGCGTCGATGAAGATACTGATGCTGATGCTGCTGATGATGAAGATACGCTGCTGCTGCTGATGATGCTGATGACGCTAATGATGATGCTGACGCTAATGAGGATGCTGATTATGATACTGCTGATGCTGATTATGATGATGATGCTGTTGCTGACGATGATGATGATGATGATGTTGATGATGTTGATGATGATGACGATGACGATGCTGATGATGCTGCTGCTGAGGATGCTGATGATGCTTCTGCTGATGATGATGATGATGATGCGGACGATGCTGATGATGCTGATGTTGATGCTGATGATGATGCTGATGCTGATGCAGCTGCTGATGATGATGCAGTTGATGATGATGAAACTTATGATGATGATGATGATGATGATGATGATGATGATGATGATGATGATGATGATGATGATGATGCGGATGATGCGGATGCTGATGCTGATGCTGCTGATGATGATGATGCTGATTGTAATGATGCTGATGATGACGATGCTGTTGATGCTGATGCTGATGCTGATGATGCTGCTGATGATGATGATGCTGATGATGATGATGATGATGATGATGATGATGATGATGATGATGATGATGATGCTAATGCTGATGAAGGTGGTGGTTGTGCTGGTTGTGGTGGTTTTGGTTGTGATGACGAGCATGACGAGGAGGATGAGGAGGCGGAGTAGGAGGAAGAGAAGGAGGACTGCTTTGATGGGCCTTGGCGTCCGAGGAGCCCGACGCCGCGAAGCGCAGGAAGATGCAGGCCGAGATCGAGGTGAAGGCCCCTCGGACTGAAGAAACGGGGGGAGGAGGGGTGGCGGCAGCCAGACGGGGACTGTTCCACGGCTGGGGGAACTGGGGAGACGGAGGAGAGGAAATGGAGGAGCAGAGGCAGGGCAAGGAGGACCAGAGTAAACCCAGGACACAACCGCACTGCTAACAGCCGGGATGCAGCAGCGATGCTGCAACCCCCATGGGTTGAAAACGCGCAGTTCGTCTCGTTGTGGGGAGCCTCCCCGCCTGACACGAACGAGCGCCTTCGTGGCCCGCCATGCAGGCGATAACCTCGTGGGAAGAGGGAGCCGCCCTCCTCCTCCTTCTCCTCCTCCTCCTCCTCCTCCTCCTCCTCCCCCTCCTCCAAATTCTCCTCCTTCTCCTCCTCCTCGCCCCCCTCCTCCTCATTCAGGCGATAACCTCGTGGGAAAAGGGAGCCGAGATCCGAGACACGCTAAGGGGCATGCTCAGAACGCCTGAGGCGGCTTTCCGCGAGAGCCCCCTTTGTGATCGCGGCAGACGTTCGGCCTGCGGTGGCAGGAAAGGGGTGCAGGGCATCGAGCAGGAGCCCAGTTTGGAAGAGGACCCCCCTCCACCAGTCATGTGATGATTGCGCAGTTTCGAATGCTCGGTGGTGCGATCTGAAGGGAGTCTCAAGCAATAGCCCACTCAACCTGCTGGATCCCGAGGGTGAAACGGGAAGCGACCATCATGCCTGCACGTGTTACGCGAATCCAAGTTGATAGTTGCGAGACCCGAGGAAGTCTTAGGCGAGAGCCCCATTATGAAAGGGAATCTCCCTCTGTGAACATATTGTAAACCTCAGTGCCAGCGGTGTAGCTCTTGGAGGTTCCAGGCTCCAGGGTAATACATTGCGTGAAAGTGCCGCGAAGCACCTATCGCGCCCTACCAGCGCGTTGGGGTTTGTGACGACGGTGAGGTCTTTGCAGGGAACCTGGGTGGAGGAAGAGGAGTAGTGGGAGGAACCATCTGATGACCATACGTGAGGGGAGGGAGATAAGAGGAATGGAGAGGAGTGGGATAAAGGACGAGGAGGTTGGGGAGGAGGGGCAGGGGGTATCAGGAGAAGGAGGGAGGTAGGGCGGAGGAGCGAGGCGGCGGAAGAGGGGCAGGAAGAGGAGGTAGCATGAGGAGAAGAGCGCAGCCATTCACGAAGGCTGGGCTTCTAGGCTCGGGGGCCCTGGTTTGCAAGCGTGGCTCTCTGGCCTCGTATACCTCTCTCCTGCTCCTCCGCCTGGTCCTCCTGCTCCTGCTTCTGCCCCCCCTCTCCTCTCGCCCCATCTCGTCTTCTCCTGTTCCCGCTTTTGAACCTGCCTCTTGCTTCTGCTTCTGCTCATGTTTCTGTTTCTTCTCCTCATCTTTTCCCTTCTCCCTCCTCTCGTTCTGTATCTTTCCCTCGCTTTGCCCCCCCCCCCCCGGTCGCCTTTTTCCTCTCCTTCTATCTCCCTCTCTCCCTCGCACTCCTTTGTCCTTATCATTGTCCTCGCTTCATATTTCTTGTGGTTTGTTCCTTGTCCTTTTTCCTTCTCCTCCCTCGCCGCTCCTTTCGTCATCGTCCTTGTCGCCCTTCTCATCTTCGTCCTCCCTTGTCTTCATCCTCTTCTCTTCCTTCTTCTCGTATGCTTGCTTATTGTCCTTCTCCTTCTCGCTCTAGTCGTCGTTGTTTTGTCCTCCTCCCCCTCTTGTTCCGCCTCCCCCACCCTTCCTCCCCCCTCCCCTCATTCCCCCTTCCCACCCGGTCCCCTCCTCCGCGCTCTACCTCCCCCTCCTCCCCAAGGAGGCGGCTGCGGAGGAGAAGAAGGAGGAGGAGGAGGAGAGCCCTCCCCCTCTGTCTCCCTGCCGAGCCCTGGGAAGGCGGAGGATGCGTTCCTGAAGGACGGATCGTTTCCCGGTCTGGCGCCGCCGCGGCCGGCCTTCATCACGCTGCGCGCGGGGATCGACTGTGTTTGTCGAGGAGGATGAGGGGCAAGGATGGGGGATGGCATATGGGTGGCGGGGAAGAGGACGTGGAGGACGAGGACGAGGAATCAAGTGTCGAGGTTTTTGGACGTCTATAGTATTGTCCCTGTTGGTTCTCTCGGGAGCTCCAGGGACCTCGGGGGACTTTGAAGGGCCTCTGGAGACTTCTGGAGGGGGAGGGGGTCAGGGAGGGAGGGAGAGCGGTGGTATGAGGAAGAGGACGAAGAGGGAGTCGGGGATGTGAGGGACGGAGGGAGGACGAAGAGTCGAGGCGGTGGGAGGGAGGAGGATTGGCAGGGTGAGAAGAAGTATGACACATGTCCATCCGCTGCAACTCCTCTTCCTCGGAGGCCCAACGCCAGGTGGCTGAACGTGAGGATGATGAGAAGGGTGAACGGGTGTGGTGTGGGGAGAGAGAGAGAGAGAGAGAGAGAGAGAGAGAAAGAGAAAGAGAGAGAGGGGGGGATGTGAGGGGGGAGGAGGAGGAGGACCACCTGGGGAGCACCCAAAGCTGCCGCCCGTGCAAGCGGGAAGTGTGCCGAGATGGTTCACAGTGAATGAAGAGGTGGAATAAGGAGGAACGATGATGAGGATGAGGATGATCGGCATGCTGGGTAGACGGGGCAGCCACAGGTGATGATGGTGATGATGTTGACGAAGGTAATAACGATTATGCAGCTGCTGATGATGCTGAGGCTGCTGATGATGATGAGGATGATACCGCTGATGATGGTGGTGGTGGTGGTGATGCTGCTGCTGATGATGATGCTGATGCTGCTACTGCTGATGATGAAGATAATGAGGATAAGGAGGATGATGAGGATCATGCTATGACGCTGCTGCTGCTGATAATCATCATTCTCATGGTGGTGTTGGTGATGGTGATGGCGATGGTAGTGATGATGATGCTGATTGTGCTGATGAGGATCATGCTGCTGCTGCTGATGGTGGTGGTGATGCTGGTGGTGATGCTGTAGTTGTTGATGATGCTGATGGCACGGGTACTTCCGATGATGATTGTTTCTGATGGCGATGATGCTGATGATGCGGATGGTGATGATGCTTCGGATGATGATGATGCTGATGATGAGGTTGCCGATGATGCTGATGCTGCTGAATATTATGCTGATGCTGATGTTGATTACGCTGATGATGATGACTGTGATGGTGATTGATAGTGATGGTGATGGTGATTGCGATGGTGATTGATGGTGGTGGTTGTGGTGGTGGTGATGGTGGTGGTTGTGATGATGATGCTACTGCTGATGCTGCTGACAACGATGACGCTGGTGATGATGGTGATGACGATGCTGATGATGACGATGTTGGATGTGCTGATGACACTGATGGCACTGATGCTGAGTATGACGATTATGATGATTCAGGTGATGGATAATGATGTGATGATGATGATGGGGATGATGACGATGCTGCTGCTGCGGATGATGATGCGGATGCTGATGATGCTGCTGCTGATGGTGATGCTGCTGCTGATGATGATGATGCTGATGATGATGATGATGATGATGGTGATGATGGTGATGCCGATGCTGATGATGATGATGATGCTGATGATGATGATGATGATGATGCTGATGATGATGATGATGATGATACTGATACTGATGATGACGATGATGGTGATGATGATGATGCTGCTGCTGCTGCTGCTTCTGCTTCTGCTGATGATGATGATGATGCTGCTGATGATGATGATGCTGCTGCTGATGATGATGATGATGATGATGATGCTGCTGATGATGATGATGATGGTGATGATGACGTGGATGCTGATGCTGATGATGATGATGATGCTGATGATGCTGCTGATGCGGAGGAGGAGGAGGAGGAGGAGGCGCAGGTGGAAGAGGAGAGGCAGGCTTCGGAGGGAGGATACGATAGCATGAAGAAGCAGGACGAGTATGATAATGTCCAGGAAGTTTGTAGGAAGGAGGTGCTGCAGGTCGCTGCAGCTACTTCTGGTGCACCTTGCCCATCTTCATTCGTTTATGGGAAGAAGGGGGGAAGCGAGAGGAATTGGGGAGGGGGAGGACCCGCGGGAAGTTGCCAGACGGGCTGAACGGGGCTAACGGGTGTGGACGGGAAGGATTCGGGGGAGAAGGAAGAAACGGGACTGGAGGCGAAACAAAGGATGTTGTTAGGGAGATCTCGGGATAGAGAGGGCGAGAGAGGGGAAAGGAGAGAGGTACAGAGGATGGATTGAGGAGACAGAGATGCCCGCATGGAGTTACCGAGGATGAGCAGGAGGAGCACGAGAAGGAGGAGGAAAAACAACCGAGGAGGACAATGAGGTGGACGTTGGCGATGATGGTGATCATGTCGTCGATGACGATCATGATGGTGATGATGATTGTGATTACGATGCCGACGACAATGACTCTGATGATTACATCGATGGCGATGTCGAGCATATCAGTATGCATGCAAGGAGAAAGATGAGGAGGAGGAGGAGGACGTGGAGGAGGAGGTGGAGGAGGAGGAGGAGTGGATTGTGCTGGATTGTGCTACTTAGGTCGAATGCCCCGATGGAAAAAACGAAGCCCGACTCCTCACGCCTTGCAAGCCGTACTTACATAGGCGTTCTTGGTGAATGGCCGCACTCCCATAACGAATCAGTCTACCCTTGGCCGTTCTCGTTCGGGAAGAAGGATACCTCCTTCACAATACGGTCCACTTACACTGACCGTCAGAAAAGCTTGGCCTAAAACACGGCTGACACGCCTGACAGTCCTTGCTGCCACTGCCTGTCTTCCCCTTCTCGCACGAGTTGATGCCAGCGTTGTAGCTAAGATATTGGGCTCCAGCTACGCCCCCCACTTCTCGCACGAAACTTGCCCAGAGCTCTCGACTAAATTGGGCTCCAGCTTCACACACCGCTTCCCGCAAGAGGCTTCTCACAGAGCTCCAGCCGATACTGGGCTCTAACTTCGCCCCCCACTTCTCGCAAGAGGTTGGCCCTGAGCTCTCGACACTAGTGGGCTCCAGCTTCGCCCCCCGCTTCTCGCAAGAGGCTTGCCACAGAGTGCCCGACAATATTGGGCTCCAGCTTCGCCCCCCGCTTCTCGCAAGGTGCTTCCACTGACTCCCAGCCCTTCCGCACGCGAGCTGATGCCCGCACGCTTTCTCGCAAGGAAAGATACCGGCGTTATAGCTGATGACCCTCCCCTGCGTTCGCCGTGCCACAGTGCCAGAAGCTGCCTTTGGTCGTCTTCTCGCAAGAGCCCACACCTGCTTTGTAGCTGGCTTCCCGCTCCCGCGTTGGCCCGTCGCGCCATGCTGGATGAGAGCACTGCGCTTCTTCTCGCAAGAGCTGATACCAACATTGTAGCTGGGCACCCCGCTCCCACGTTCGCCCTTCTCGCAATGCCGGGTGAGAGCACTGCGCGCCTTGTCGCAAGAGCTGATACCAATATTGTAGCTGATGGCTCCGCTCCCACGTTCGCCCTTCTCGCAATGCCGGGTGAGAGCACTGCGCCCCTTCTCGCAGGAGCTGGTATGTAGCTGATGACCCCGCTCCCACGTTCGCCCTTCTCGCAATGCCGGGTGAGAGCACTGCGCCCCTTCTCGCATGAGCTGATACCAACACTGTAGCTGATGACCCTCTCCTGCGGATGCCGTGGTTCCGGTCTCACCTCCATCTCGCGGAGCACAGCCAGAGCCTGATGCCACTGCTGGTCCTTCTCGCACGCGTCGATACCAACGCTGTAGTTAAGGACGTCTGGTTCCAGTCTCACCTCCGTCTCGCGGAGCACAGCCAGAGCCTGCTGCCACTTCCCGCCGTTCTCGCACGCGCCGACTGTAGCGCTGTAGTGAAAGACGTCGGGCACCAGCTTCACCTCCGCCTCACGGAGCCCAGCCAGAGCCTGCTGCCCCTGCCCACCCTTCTCACACGCGCTTCTTTCGGCGCTGTAGCTGAGGACGGCGGGCTGTATCCCTACTCTCTCCCGCTCGCGGAGTCGGGCCAGCGTCTGCTGCCACTTCTCGCACTTCTCGCACATGCTGATTCCAGCGTTGTGGCTGAGGAAGGCGTCGGGCCCCTGCGATTCTTGGGCTGTGCGCTGTAAGGCATCACCCCTGCTTGCCAAGAGGAGGAGGAGGGGAAGGGGGAAACAGACGGGGAGAGGGCGAAAGGAAGGGGAGGCATCTTGGCGGCCCCGCATGCGCCTATTCGCGGCGCCGCCACTGCGGGCGACGGCGTTTATTGATGGCACCATGCTTCTTTACGGCTCCCCGAAGCATCGCCGCTCCGAAGTTGGCGACGGGAGCGCCCAGGCGGTCCACGCAGGGACGGGCCGCTCGGGCACGGAACGGCTGGAGGAGGAGTGGAGGAGGTGGAGGAGGAGGAGGAGGAGGAGGAGTAGGAGGAGGCAGGGCAGGAGGGATTTGTCAAGGAGGAAGAGGGGAGTTGGGGAGAGGGGAGGAGAAGGATGGTAATGAGGACGCGGAGATGGAGAACGTGAAGTCTGTCAGGTCTCGAGTGGTTCGAGCTCAAATCGCTGTCGGTGCGATTCGCCTATGGCATACAGACGACCCGTTCGATGTTGCTTTGGCTTGGCGTTGAAGTCGCGCTACAGTCGGGGCCCTGAAGAAGGAATCCTTTTGGTTGGGGAGGGGCTCCGCGTTCCTTCAGTGTTTCACAGCTTGTCTTGGGTTTTCCTCAGGTTGGAAAAACGGGGCCTCGTTCCTTATTTCGGGTTCCTTAGGTCAAGGCCCCGAGTGTAGCTCGGTCCTGTCTGGTTCGTGCGGCTCTACTCTGCTCCGAGGCCGTCCTGGATTCGCCGGAGGCGCCCGCGTGCCCGCAGGAGATGGCCCAGCCGGCGGCGCTGAAGAAGCCCGCATACAAGGAAGGGTGGCGCCGCCGTTCGGCTCGTGCCACCGCCCGCCCTGCCCCCCCCAGGAGGAGGAGGAGGAGGAGGAGGAGGAGGAGGAGGAGGAGGAGGAGGAGGAGGAGGAGGAGGAGGAGGAGGAGGAGGAGGAGGAGGAGGAGGAGGAGGAGGAGGAGGAGGAGGAGGAGGAGGAGGAGGAGGAGGAGGAGGAGGAGGAGGAGGGAGGAGGGGAGGGGGGGGGGGGGAGGAGGGAGGGAGGGAGGAGGGAGGGAGGGAGGGAGGAGGGAGGGAGGGAGGGAGGGAGGGACGGAGGGGGAGGGAGGGAGGGAGGGAGGGAGGGAGGGAGGGAGGGAGGGAGGGAGGGAGGGAGCGAGGGAGGGAGGGAGGGAGGGAGGGAGGGAGGGAGGGAGGGAGGAGGAGGAGGAGGACGAGGAGGAGGAGGAGGAGGAGGAGGAGGAGGAGGAGGGAGAGGAGGAGGAGGAGGAGGGAAGAGGAGGAGGAGGAGGAGGAGGAGGAGGAGGAGGAGGAGGAGGAGGAGGAGGATGGAGGAGGAGGAGGAGGAGGAGGAGGAGGAGGAGGAGGAGGAGGAGGATAGTTTTTCGCCCCGAGGGGAAGTGATCCTGGGGGGCAGTGTTGCAACCTGCAGTCTTGTCGCCATTTTCGAGCTAGCACGCACCAAAGGGACCCTCGGACCGTTGACCTCACGCCCGCGCCCACGGTGGAGCGGATCAAAGCATGGCTGAAGGCAGGCGAGTGGGGTGTCGAACGAAGAGAATTGACAAACCATAATATATATATATATATATACACATAACGGCGCACCGGGTCCGGGGGCCCGGGGCCGGGACCTCGACCACAAATGTCGGCCCCGGGGGGCCCGGAGGCTCGTCGGGGCTTGCCGGACGCCTCCCCGGTCAGACAAGACGGCCCAAGAAGCGCCCAAGACGGCCCTAGAAACTTCCAAGAGGGCTCCAAGATGCTGAAGATGGCCTCCAGACGTCCAAGGACGCCCCCAAGACGCCCCAAGAAGCCTCCAACATGCGTCCCAAGAGGGCCCCTAGACGCAAAAATTGGCCCATTCCCTTCGTAAAACGTACATTTTTCACAAAGTTGCCTTTTGGGCTTTCCGACGTTACAGGACGGCCCAAGAGGCGCCCAAGACCGCCCCAAGACGGCCCAAGAAGCTTCCAAGAGGGCCCCAGGACAGCCCAAGAGGGCCCCAAGACGGCCCAAGAGGCGCCCAAGATGGCCCAAGAGGGCCCCAAGACGGGCCCAAGAGGGGGCCCAGAGGGGGACCACGAACCGCAAGCTCGAGCCTTCCGCCCCAAGAGGCCGCCAGGAGGCCCCAAGGAGGCCCCTCAAGAGGCCCCAGGAGACCCCCAAGAGGCCCAAAGGAGGCCCCGAGAAGCCCCAAATCGGCCCCCAAAATGCTTCGAACCTGCTTCCAGGAGGCCCCCGACAGGTTCAGAGGCTCCCGAGAAGCTACGTCAAACTCCCAGCGAGCGGCCGGACGAGGCCCCCCAAAAAATCCCAAGAGGGTTCCAGTATTTGTATCCTTCAGCGCTCTCTGGCCTTCTTCCCCCTGCCCCCTTCCCTGCGACTTTCGTTGACTCAAGCTCGCCTCCTCTCCATTTCCTCTCTCTGCCTCTCTCTCTCTCTCTCTCTCTCTCTCTCTCATCTCTCTTTCTCTCTCTCTCTCTCTCCTTCGCTCTCTGTCTGTCTGTCTCTCTCTCCCTCTCTTTCTCTCTCTTTCTCTCTCTCTCTCTTTCAGATTCCGTGTCCTTGCGACCTTCTGCAGTCCCCGACGTCGCCACGGCTGGATCCGCTCGAGCGTGTCTTGTGATGTGCGGCGGTGCGAAGCCCGTCCCACTGATCAAGGCACAGGTACAAAATGATGGGTCCATCATTTCTTAAGTACTATCAGAGGCATCCGTAAGTATCCTGAGGGGCCCCGCGACTTCCGCCGGAGACTCTGACTACAGAAACTCCCTTCGTATTCCGGCCAGAAGCATCCAGAAACGATGTACATTAGCCCTGGCGGGGGGAATGATGGCGATGGTGATGTTCATGATGACGACGGTGACGATCCTAGCTAGAACCTAAGCGCGCGCGAAGCGCGCGCGTGGTCCTAGTATATATATATATAGGTATAGGATAATAATGTAGCGAGCAGGGCGGGAGAGAAGAAATGCTGGATGACGCGGTGCAGCAAGATGTGGAAGGAAGCGCTTTGAACATCTTGCTCAGCTACGTAACGCAGGCAGGCGTTAACCAGCAGGCATCGTGGCATGAATCCAATGCGTCGTGATATCGACTGCTAGCGCCCCGGCATGCGCTAGAACCTGAGCGCGCCAAAAGCGCGCGCGTGGTTTAGTTAACGTGTAGGGATTGGTTGAGTATGGTCGATTGGAGCGGGGCCAACGGGCGGGGCGGGTCAGGCGGGCGAGACCTGAAAGTGTAGAGCTTTATCGAATCCGGTCAAGTTGTGCAGAGCGGATAGGGTTGATGGAGTGCGGGTCGGGCGGGCGGGGCATTTAAGTGCAGGGCCCCATCGAGTCTGGTCGGGTGTGCTGAGGCGAAGGGACCAAGCGAGTCAGGCGGGCAACATATTAAAGCGTGGAGTCGTATTGCGTCTGGTCGGGCTGGGCGGGTCAGGCTGGTTGACGCGCTTTGCTTCGAGGATGAGCAGGAGGAGCAGGAGGAGCAGGAGGAGGATAATGATGGTGATGATGATGACGAACATGGGGATGGTGCTGCAGCTGATGCTGATAATGATGCTGATGCTGCTGATGATGATGCTGATGTTGCTGCTGTTGATGGTGGTGATGCTGGTACTGATGCTGCTGATGATGATGATGCTGACGGTGGTGGTTGTGGTGCCGCTGCTGATGACGATGATGATGATGATGATGTTCATACTGCTGATTCTGCTGCTGCTGAAGATGCTGATGGTGATGATGATTATGATGACGATGCGACTGATGATGATAATGACGATGATGAGGGTGATGATGATGATCATGCTGGTGATGAAGATGCTGATGGCGATGATGATGGTGATGATGCTGACGATGCGAATGATGATGACGACGATGACGAAGATGGTGAGGATGCTGCTGATTATGATGACGATGCTGATGCTGCTGCTGATGATGATGATGATGATGATGATGCTGGTGCTGCTGATGACTGTGATGATCATGAAGGCGAACATGATACTGATTATGCTTACGATGCTGCTGATGATGCTGATGATGCTGCTGCTCCCGATGATGATCATGCTGATAATGATGATGCTGATGCTGATGCTGATGCTGATGATGATGAAGATAATGATGATGTTGCTGATGTTGACGAACCTGATGATGCTGCTGCTGGTATTCGTGATGATGATCATGAAGATGACGATGATGTTGCTGATGATGGTGCTAATACCGTGTCGATGGTGATGCTGATGCTGGTGATGATGTTGACGATGGTGATGGTGATGCTGATGATGCTGATGCTGATGCTGATGACGACGATGATGCTGATGTTCATGACGACGATGGTGAGGATGAGGACGATGATGCTGATGATGATGATCATGATGATGAGGATGATGCTGATGCTGCTGCTGCTGATGATGATAATGATGATGATGACGATTATGATGCTGCTGCTGGTGTTGATTTTGATGATGATGATGCTGATGCTGATGCTGGTGCTGATGATGCTGATGATGACCATGCTGCTGCTGATGATGATGATGACGAGGCGTATGATAGTTCTTACGATGCTGATGCTGATGCTGATGCTGATGATGTTGGTGATGACGATGCTGATGCTGCTGCTGCTGCTGCTGATGATGATGCTGGTGATGATGATGATGATGCTGATGATGATGATGATGGCAATGTTGAGGATGATTATGATGATTACGCTGATGGTGGTGGTGGTGATGATGATGACGACGACGATGACGATGATGATGATGCTGATGATGATGACGACGATGATGATGATGATGATGACGACGACGATGATGATGCTGATGATGCTGATGCTGATGATGATGATGATGATGATGATGATGATGGTGATGCTGCTGCTTCTGATGATGATGATGAAGATGATGATGGTGGTGATGATGATGATGCTAATGATGATGATAATGATGGTGATTGTGATGTTGATGATGATGGTGATGGTGATGGTGATGGTGATGGTGGTGATGGTGATGATGATGATGATGATGATGATGATGCTGCTGATAATGATGATGTTGATGAAGAAGATGATGATGATGATGATGATGCTGATGATGATGATGACGATGACGATGATGATGATGATGATGCTGATGATGATGATTATGATGATGATGATGGTGGTGATGATGATGATGATGGTGATGGTGATGGTGATGGTGATGATGATGATGATGATGATGATGATGATGCTGATGGTGATGTGGTGGTGGTGGTGGTGGTGGTGGTGGTGGTGGTGGTGGAAGTGATGATGCTGATGATGATGAGGAGGAGGAGGAGGAGGACGCCGAGGAGGAGGAGGAGGACGACGAGGAGGAGGATAAGGACGAGAACGAGGAGGTGGATGGGAAAGAGGGTGCGGAAGAAGGTAGTGTGGCGCGGCCCCCAGGGTGTCGGAGGGCTTTCAGAGTCGCCCCTGCTCCAGCTCCGTGCTTTTGGGCGACATCTATGCACATCCGCCGCCCCTGGCCAGGCCCATTCTGGGCCACCTGCTCGGCCTCAGCTCGGGGGAAGGAGAAGCGACGCCACCACCACCAGCGGGGCCACCTCCGAGCTAGGAGTTCCTTTCTGCGTCTCCCAGCTGGAAGGCGGGGGCTGTCTCGAGGGGGGCGCCGCAGAGTGGGGGGAGGGGGGCGGGGGCCGTCGGGCCGCACAATCCGGAGGAAGCTCGCCTTGCTGGCCCTTCGCGATGACGGCGTTGGCGCTGTCGACCGTCTTTGCCCCTGTCCGCTCCCGCCCCCGCGTGCGGCTCGTCGTCGCCGCCCCCCCTGCACTCAGCCTCCTCCCTGGGCCTTCGCGTCCGCCCCGGCGCCCGCTCCCGCCGCCCGCCCCCCTCGCCGAGGACACGGCGGGGCAGGTGTACAACCTGAACGGCGAGGTCCTGAACTTCCAGGGCGACCTAGGAGTTCTTGCTCGGGTCGGAGTATAGGGGGGGGGGGCGGGCGGGGTGCGGACAGAAATGGGTTGGGGGTGAGGGGGCGGGCGCGCAAAATGCGCTGCGTGCAGCTGGTTTCGTCCCCGCCGCCCAGGCGCTCTCCCCGGTGCTGGCCGCCGCTGGCGTCGGGGGGCGCCAGGGAAGCGAGCTGCCCGAGCAGATCCGCCACCCTGCCCTTTGCTCCCTCTCCCATTGAGTCCACCCTGGTCTGCGGATTTTCCCTGTTTTGGATTCGTTGGTCTGGAGAGCTCACGTGACCTTGCCGTCATCGCCGCCCTCCTCCTCCTCATCCTTCTCGGGCCGGTCACCGTAGCCATTTTGGCTCAAGGGGGCACGAGGCCCAAGCTGCGCCTCGCGCCCGGTTGCGAGGAGGGGGAGGAGGACAGCCAGCGGGAGGGGGCCGGCGGCTGCGCCTCGGCAAGGGCGCCCATGACCCGCCCACGACTGGATTGTCTAAGTTACCCTGTTCACCCGTCACGTTCGGTTTTTTCGCCCGACCCGGTTGTCTTAGTTTCCCTGTTCACCGATCACCCTGGTACTCACACGTGCCCGTTTGTTTGCATGTCTTCTCTCGACGTGAGTCGGATGTTTCGCCCTTTCGCCTCCATCGTCCCCTCCCTCCCTGGCCGCGCCGCCATGGCGCTACCCCTCCTCGCCCTCCACAGCCTGCTGCGCTGCCCTTCGTCGTCGGCAAGGGTCCGCCTCGTGCTGTGCGTCAAGGGAAGTGCCGTGCGGGCGTCGTCCTCGCCGCGTCCTTCGCCCGGGGGCGCGCTGTGCGCCCTCGACCGCCATTCTGGCCGCTCACACGGTGTGCCCGGTCAGTCTTGCCGGTTCTGCTCCGAGCGCGTGGTTCCTCGCTGTGCGTCCGAACTGCTGTAACCCGCGACGGGCGATGAGAAAGGTGCCTCCCCCCCCCCTTTCCCCCCTCTATTTGTTCTATCCCCGCCCACAGGGGTTTATCTGTGGGGAAGGCGCGGGGGCCGAACTTGATAATCACCTGGAGAATTGCGGGGATCGAAGCTGCTATCATATCATGTTGATTAGCAACAGATCTCCCTTGAGTAATCTCTGTGTAGCGTGCCTCTGCGGGCAAGTAGCCACGAGCCTCGAGATTGCTCGAGTCAGGCTGTTGTAGTGCGCCTGGTTTAACCTCCTCCATACCCGCGGGAACCGCGATATTCATTATCCCAGGGGGTTATCATCGCCCCTTTTCGATTGCCTGTTCAGTACGGCCGATTCGACTTGTCCACCCGCACAAGACCTTCTTTCACATGGTCCACCCCGCTCGGTTTTGTTCGGTCATTTTTGTTATGGCTCTGCTGTGAGCCCAGGTCCTCAACCCTGCTGCGGACCTTCGTACTTCTTCTTGTGCGACCACGTCTTGTCCTTCCCCTACATGGTCTCTGGCTCGTTTTGCAGAGTCGCAGTTTTGGCACCTTGTACCGCTTCAAGGCCTACCTCACCAAGCCGGCCTCGAACCCCGCTGCTCCGCAGCTCAGTTTTGTTTTGGCTCTGTTCTGAGCTCAGGTCCTCAGCCCAGTTTCATACCGTCGTACTCCTTCACTTTCGACCACTTCATTCAGTTTTCCGTCAAGGCCTTCTCCTGCATGGTTTCGGCCCCCTTTTGTTGAGACGCAATTCTGGCACCTTGTGCCGCTTTAAGGCCTACCTCACCAAGCCAGCCTCGGCTCCAGTTGCTCCGCAGCTCGCTTGCAAGTTCCTCCGCAGCACCCTGGCGCCGGCTTTCATGGTCTGAGCAGGCTCCTTCCCTTGTTCCTCTCTCGCGTCCTGTCTCGTTTGCCCTCAATGTGCTCCCGGTGTATTCCACCGCTTGCTGACCAGCGTCTGACAGTTGTTACCTGTCGGCGCCCACGGGTCGTTTCAGATGACAGATTCTATGGGTTGTGAGCCGTCACATGTATCACCTTTCGTCTTCATGTCTGGAGAGGCCCTTGTCGCGCTCATTCGGGCCGTCTTCGGGCAATATTGGGCTCCTGTGGGGCAGTGTTTGGGGTCCCTTAAGGCCATCTTGAAGTCTTGGTCCGTCTTGGGGCCCTCTTGGGCCGTCTTGGGGGTCTTGGGGTTCTTGGGCCGTTTATGGGCCGTCTCGGCCGTATGGTTTGCTGCGCGGCCGTCCTGAGGCCGCCCCGTTGGCGCCGTCTTGGGCCGTCGCAGGACCTGAGGCCGTCGGGGGTTTCTCCGGAGGCCTTTCTGGGCCGTCTTTGGGCCGTCTTGGAGGCCTCTTAGGCCATCACGGGGTCCTTTTAGGCTGTTCGAGAACTCTCTTGGTGGCCTTTTGGGCAGGCGTTGTGCCATCATGGAGGCCTGTTTGGCTTTTTTAAGCTGACGGGAGCTCGAAAAAACGAATCAGCGCACAGCATTCCAACATTAGCAGTTGTCAATGATTCTGGCGTTTTTGGATCATGTTGGGGGTCCTCTTGTGGCCCTCTTGGGCCCTTTTGGCGGCATCTTGAGCCGTCTTGCGCCGCATCGGGGTCACCTTGGGGCGTCTCGGAGGCATCTTAGGCCTTCTTGTTGGCAGATTGGTTGCCTGCCCGAGCCGACTTGGAAGCTTGGGAGCGCTGGCCCACTTCATTTTGTCACTAAGGATCCTGGCCTCGCGAGCGCGGGTCCGTGTTTTGTTATTGTGTGACAAACGGGTCGTAAACCCAGGAGGGTTGATACACGCGCCCGTCTGCTAGTAGAGGAGGGGGGAAGTAGTTCGAATATCGTCAATGCCCTACCGGACAACACCTGGCACTCTACCGCGTCTCACTCCACCAGGTGGCACGGTGGCGGATTATGATATTCTCAGGTTGCGCATTGCATTCTGCTGGCTTCTGCGTTCCGTGTTCTATGCCGCTCTTCTTTTTCTAGCAGCTGCTGTTGCGTGCGACTTTTCGCATGCAAGTTTGCCTGGTTGACGTCACGGTCTCTGATCGCGGGGGAGGAGGAGGAGGAGGGGGGAGGAGGAGTTGGTGGAGTTGGAGGAGGAGGAGGAGGAGGAGGAGGAGGAGGAGGAGGAGGGGGAGGAGTAGGAACAGTGTAGACCCAAGCCTTACCAACGATGTTTGAATACACTCTCCCGAGCGACCTCTTCATAAACCCTTACAAGGGTTCAGTTCCACTGAGGAAATTGCCTCGTTGGATGACAACTGTTTGAATACCCTGAAGCGTAACAAAACACCATTCTCGGGACCCCAACGCCACGGGTCATTCTGACTGTTGCATCGTGCCAAAGCACGCTTCTTGGGACTTCAACACCGCGTATCAACGTAACTGTTGCGCCCTCTCAATCCTCAGTCCGTCCAACACATACTTTCTGATACGTTGACCATGGGAATCCGTGAAACCCTTGGAGCTGCATTCGTGAATCCGTTGACGAGTGTGCGCGGCGCTGCAGCGAGAACCGCAGTTTGAAAACCAACCGCCCTTAATCCGTGAAGCTCTTTCGAATTTCTGAGACGAGTGTGCGCGGCGCCGAGGCGAGAGCCCCATTTTGAAAACGGCCCGCCCTCCACCTGACTGTTGCCAGTTTCTAGGTTGCGTGGGCTTACATGTTGTTGAAGTCTGGAGCGACACGCCCGGCTCGCCCTTTCAACAGGCTTCGGGGTGCGACAGGGAGGAGTTTCTTCATAAGGAAAAAGGAAAGGAGGAGGAGGAGGAGGAGGAGGAGGAGGAGGAGGAGGAGGAGGAGGAGGAGGAGGAGGAGGAGGAGGAGGAGGAGGAGGAGGAGGAGGAGGAGGAGGAGGAGGAGGAGGAGGAGGAGGAGGAGGAGGAGGAGGGAGGAGGAGAGGAGGGGAGGAGGAGGAGGAAGGAGGAGGAGGCGGAGGAGGCGGAGGAGGGAGGAGGAGGAGGAGGAGGAGGCGGAGGCGGATGCGGAGGCGGAGGCGGATGAGGAGGAGGAGGAGGAAGAGGAGGAAGAGGAGGAAGAGGAGGAAGAGGAAGAAGAGGAAGAAGAAGAAGAAGACGAATAATACTAATAATAATAATAATAGGACGCATAATAATAAGAAGAAGACGAAGACGAATAATACTTATACATATAATAATAATAATAATTACTCCGACGGAAGGACCCCACATGATAATCTGTTTAGCTTTCCCTTATCCCTTTCCTCCCGGCCATGGCAAACACCCTCGTATCGCCCTCTCCTCTGCCATCTTTTCCTCTTCTTCTATTTCCCCCCCCCTCCTTCTCCTCCTCCTCCCCCTCCTCCTTCTCCACCTCCTCCTCATCATCGCCCTCCCCATACCCCTTCCGTCCTCATCCTCCTCCTGCCTCTTTTCCACGTGCACGTCCCTTTCCCCCCGGTCGGGGGAAGCAAGTCGATTTTCCTCGGCGCCGTCGCCGCCTCGGTCAGAAAAAAACTGGAGAGGGGACCTTTTCAAGTTCCCTCTCCAGTTGGAACGCGCGGGAAAGTGAACCTTTGCAAGTTCCCTTTCCCGCTGCTGGAGAGGGAACCTTTTCAAGTTCCCTCTCCAGTTGGAACGCGCGGGGAAGTGAACCTTTGCAAGTTCCCTTTCCCGCTGCTGGAGAGTGAACCTTTGCAAGTTCCCTCTCCAAGGGAAAGTGAACCTTTTCAAGTTCCCTTTCCCGCGAATGAAGGGTGAACCTTTTCAAGTTCCCCCTTCACTCCGACGACAAGGGGGGACAGGGAACCTTTGCAAGTTCCCCCTCCCGCAGCTAGAGACGTCGAAGCTTTTTCAAGTTCCCTCTCCAGCCCAATCCTGCCACGAACGGGAAAGTGAACCTTTTCAAGTTCCCTCTCCCGCAGCTAGAGAGTGAACCTTTTCAAGTTCCCCCCCCAGCCCAAACGAACGCGGGAGAGTGAACCTTTTCAAGTTCCCTCTCCCGCCGACGACGACAAGGTTGGCCAACAATTGGACGTGGGCAAGTCGAAAGAGAATATTCAGGCCGCAGGAGCGAGTTCCCCTTCGATCCTCCAAGTGACGACAAGAGACGGTCCTCAGACGGGACTACCCGCACCGCCCACAGACAAAGTTCCCGCTTGATACTTCCCCCTTGTTCAGGCCGCAGGAACTGAGGAGCCCAAAAAGCTCGCTCGGATGACCCGCTCGGGTTCGAACATGAAGTGCGTGCCCCACAGGGATGGAGCGCCCGCCTGATACTTCTCCCATATTCAGGCCTCAGGAGCCCAAAAGCGACGACAGTTACAGGTTTCCGATGACCCGCTCAGATTAGTAAGATGATCTGCGGGCCCCATAGGGAGGGGGCTTCCGCCTGAGACTTCCTCGCAAGTCACTCACAGACGAGGCTCCCGCCTGATCCTTCTCCCATATTCAGGCCTCAAGAGCCCAAAAGTGACGACAGTTACAAGATTCCGATGGCCCGCCTCGGATTAGTAACATGATCTGGGGGCCCCATAGGGAGGAGACCCCCGCCTGAGACTTCCTCGCAATTCACTCACAGACAACGCTCCCGCCTGATACTTCCTCCAAATTCACGCCCCAGGAGCCCAAAAATGACGACAGTTACAGGATCCCGATGACCCGCCTCGGATTGGTAAGATGATCTGCGGGCCCCATAGAGAGAGGCTCCCGCCTGAGACTTCCTCGCAATTCACTCACAGACAACGCTCCCGCCTGATACTTCCTCCAAATTCACGCCCCAGGAGCCCAAAAGTGACGACAGTTACAGGATCCCGATGACCCGCCTCGGATTAGTAAGATGATCTGCGGGCCCCATAGGGAGGGCTCCCGCCTGAGACTTCCTCGCAATTCACTCACAGACGACGCTCCCGCCTGATACTTCCTCCAAATTCACGCCCCGGGAGCCCAAAAGTCACGACAGTTACAGGATCCCGATGACCCGCCTCGGATTAGTAAGATGATCTGCGGGCCCCATAGGGAGAGGCTCCCGCCTGAGACTTCCTCGCAATTCACTCACAGACGACGCTCCCGCCTGATACTTCCTCCAAATTCACGCCCCAGGGAGCCCAAAAGTGACGACAGTTACAGGATCCCGATGACCCGCCTCGGATTAGTAAGATGATCTGCGGGCCCCATAGGGAGAGGCTCCCGCCTGAGACTTCCTCGCAATTCACTCACAGACGACGCTCCCGCCTGATACTTCCTCCAAATTCACGCCCCAGGAGCCCAAAAGTGACGACAGTTACAGGATCCCGATGACCCGCCTCGGATTAGTAAGATGATCTGCGGGCCCCATCGGGAGAGGCTCCCGCCTGAGACTTCCTCGCAATTCACTCACAGACGACGCTCCCGCTTGATACTCGAGTGAGTGACGGACTGACTGAGTGATGTGTGACGCCAACGGATGATATCCTCATGCGATGATCGTGATGAGTGAGTGAGTGAGTGAGCGATCGAGTGGTGTATGGGTAAGTGTGATGGTGCTGAGGAGGAGAGGCGTGGGTCATGATGATGATGACTGATGATGATGATGGCGAGAAAGAGGAAGAGAGAGAGAGAGAGAGAGGGTGTGAGATCCTGCGCGGGGGGTGTGCAGAGAAAACAAGAACCCCACTTTGGATGTGGGGAATATTAAGAATAATACGAAGACGACAACGCAGAATAATACGAATATTAAGAAGAATCATACGAACACTAAGACGAATCATAATACGAATACGAAGAAGCCGAATAATAATACTGAGAATAATAATCATACGAAGAAGAATAAACATAAGACGAACATTAATAATAAGAATTCCACGAAGACTAAGACGAATAACAATAATAATACTGAGAAGCATAATGATACTACTAAGACGAAGAAGGCGAATTTGAAGAGGACTAAGACGATGAATACGAATAATAACAAGAATAATGATACGAATGATATTAATAGTAACAAGAAGAAGACTAATACGAAGAAAACTAAGGCGAATACTACGAATAATAGTGATAATAAGAACAAGAAGAATAAAACTACGAATGCTAAGAATAATAATGAGACGAATAATAAGAAAACGAAGGCTAGTAATAATAATAATAATAATAAGAAGAATACAACTAGTAACAGTAATAATAATAACCATAAGAAGAATAGGACTACTACTAAGAATAAGAAGAATAATAAGAGGAACACGAATAATAATAATAATAAGAATAAGAAAAATATGACGAATACGAATACTAATAGTATTACTAACAAGAAGAATAATAATAAGACTGATAATACTACTACTACGAATAGTAATAATAATATTAATAATAGTAATAGTACTAATAATAATAAGAATCAGCAGACTAATAATAATAATAATAATAATACTAATTACCCTGGCGACGTACCCAACCCCTGCGCAAAAGCGGGGCGCAAATAGTTTAGGATACTTTATAAGGGGGCGATGACGGAGCGAGGGTTACATATGTCTGCAGACGGAATTCGGGAGACTCGCAGGACACTGGCTACAGGAAAAGGGCTTGATAAAGCTGAGATTTACAATTCCTGAGCACTCCTAGCCACTTCGAAAACGGGGATCACAGCAGGCCTCGAAAGTGGCGACAGTTTCGCAGATCGCAGCCCCGCAGGGACGGCGAGGTCTAATTTGAATCCGCCCGTGGCCCTCACTTTGCTGGGCCCCCCAGCAGGCCTCGAAAATGGCGGCAGTTTCGCAGATCGCAGCCCCCCAGGGATGGCGAGGTCTAATTTGAATCCGCGCGTGGCCCTCACTGTGCTGGGCCCCCCAGCAGGCCTCGAAAATGGCGACAGTTTCGCAGATCGCAGCCCCCCAGGGATGGCGAGGTCTATTTTGAATCCGCGCGTGGCCCTCACTGTGCTGGGCCCCCCAGCAGGCCTCGAAAATGTCCCCCCCCGCACCAGTTTCACAGCTGCGCCCCTGGGAGTGGCGAGGTCTTCATGGTCCGCCCGGCCCTCACTGTGCTGGGCCCCCCAGCAGGCCTCGAAAATGGCGACAGTTTCGCAGATCGCAGCCCCCCAGGGATGGCGAGGTCTAATGTGAATCCGCGCGTGGCCCTCACTGTGCTGGGCCCCCCAGCAGGCCTCGAAAATGGCGACAGTTTCGCAGATCGCAGCCCCCCAGGGATGGCGAGGTCTAATTTGAATCCGCGCGTGGCCCTCACTGTGCTGGGCCCCCCAGCAGGCCTCGAAAATGGCGACAGTTTCGCAGATCGCAGCCCCCAGGGATGGCGAGGTCTAATTTGGGTCCGCGCGTGGCCCTCACTGTGCTGGGCCCCCCAGCAGGCCTCGAAAATTGCGACAGTTTCGCAGATCGCAGCCCCCCAGGGATGGCGAGGTCTAATTTGGGTCCGCCCGTGGCCCTCACTGTGCTGGGCCCCCCAGCAGGCATCGAAAATGGCGGCAGTTTCGCAGATCGCAGCCCCCCAGGGACGGCGAGGTCTAATTTGGGCCCGCCCGTGGCCCTCACTGTGCTCGGTCCCCCAGCAGGCCTCGAAAATGGCGACAGTTTCGCAGATCGCGGCCCCCCAGGGATGGCGAGGTGTAATTTGGGTCCGCCCGTGGCCCTCACTGTGCTGGGCCTCCCCAGCAGGCCTCGAAAGTGGCGACAGTTTCACAGATCGCAGCCCCCCAGGGATGGCGAGGTCTAATTTGGGTCCGCCCGTGGCCCTCGCTGTGCTGGGCCCCCCAGCAGGCCTCGAAAATGGCGACAGTTTCGCAGATCGCAGCCCCCCAGGGATGGCGAGGTCTAATTTGAATCCGCGCGTGGCCCTCACTGTGCTGGGCCCCCCAGCAGGCCTCGAAAATGGCGACAGTTTCACAGATCGCAGCCCCCCGCGGGCAAGACAGGAAGAGGCGGGAGG